CAGGTAGTGGCAGATTGGATACTTAAACACTTACAATCGGACTGTCCACATGAGGGGGAGGAGTACTGGGACAGGTCTTACATTGAGCTAGTGGCTGTCTCTTATACACATCTAGATGTGTATAAGAGACCAGATGCTTTCGGGGCACAACAGATGGATGTGGACACAACCCCACCTCCCCCTGATGTAGAAATGGAGGAATCCCCGAAAGACCCGGCTGACCCCGACGCCCCCCCACAAGAAATGAGCCTGGACCAAAAAATCCAGGTGGTGGCCGATTGGATACTTAAACACCTGCAATCGGACTGTCCGCATGCTGTCTCTTATACACATCTAGATGTGTATAAGAGACAGAAAGAGTGTAGTAGAGTAGAGTAGAGCAGAGTAAAGTAGCGTGTCGTACAGTAGAGTAGAGTGTTGTAGAAAAAAGTGTCGTAGAGTAGGGTAGAGTACGTACAGTAGTGTCGTAGAGTAGAAAGTCATAGACGCTGCTTCGCGCACGCAACGCGACATGCTCGCGATCGCGATTGCGCTAACGACCGCACAAAGGGAGCCGCGTAGGAAGGTGGGGTGGTTGAGGGTGGACGAGGGTGGTGTGAGCCGGCATGACGTGGAGGATGGCATGATGAAGGGAGGTGTGAGATACCTCGGAGAAGCCATAGCCGACTCAGGGAATAGGGGAGGAGACTATCCAAGAGGGAAGAACGAAGTCAGGCGCGGCTAGCGGCAGCGGGAGTTCTGTGACGAGGGTGAGGATCCGCTGATTGGTAACTAACCGAACGGGCGGAGCGACAACTTCACCACAACAGAAGACAGCGCCAGCGTGAGAACGTGCAACTCGTGAGTCTGCTCCCCTTGGGGCCCCGTATCAGGAAACTGACACGGTTGGGGAGCGTGATTGACGCTTACGACTGCAAAACACTGACAGATGCGACCACGACGACACAACGGTTAAGGAACGACGACATCCAGCAAGCGACTTCAAACCCAAGCTGCAATAACAGAGTAGGAGATCTCCCCATCCCCTGATCACGACCCCGACCCCGATCCCTCCTGTCCTCCTCCTCCCTGCTCCCGACCCCGTCCGGCCTCCCTCACCTGATCCCGCCCCCGACTCCAACCGCCTCCCCACCCATCCCATCCCCGACCGCGACTATCTCCCCTGCATCCCTGACCCCAACCCTCTCCCCGCTCCCGATCATCCCCCGGGAC